CTGTTACTTTTCATTAGCTTATAAATAGTTTTTTTTTTTTTTACACAATAAATGTCTCACAACTTTTTAAATTATTAAATTTAAAATAATCTAACCATTTCATAGTTTTTACATAATAAATAAATATATAATGTATCTACTAAATATTTTTCACAGTAATATATATTTAAATTTATTTATAAATGAATAAAATTTTAGTGGGTTAACTTATAAGAATAGAATATGATAATAGTTAAAACTATGTATTCTATATTCATTTTTAATGTGTTCATTCATAGCTGAAAAATTTTATTTTATCAATCCTTAGGATAAACAATTTCATTTTCTCTTCCCTAAAAGGTTGGTAATATGTTTATTTCTTTTGTTTATTTTTCCTTATGGATAGACAATTTTTATATCCATCTACTCCTAAGTAAACAATATATATGTATATATTTTTGTTTTATAATATTTTTTTAGATATATTAGTTATAAGGTTATTTCTTTTTCTAATATATGAAATAATTTTTTTTTAATTTAAAAAAATTACTATTTCGTCTAATTGAATAAGATTAAAATTATTCTTTCGTTATCATATATATTTCAAGATTAACTTATTTTTTATTATAAATAATACGAATCAAATTTAAAATAACAATCATTTTTGAATTTGAATTAAAAGAAGTTGAAGTACTTTGAGTATTAATGGAGTTAAGTTTAAAAGAATTAAGTTAATAAAGAGAAGACAAATACAAAATTAATTATATACTATGAGTTCAATGAATGTTTAGTAAGGGGCGTAATAATGTAATTACCGGTGTCGGAAGAGGAAAAAGATAAAAAGGAAAATGGATGGGAGACACGTGGAAGATAAAGAAAGAAGGGTGGTGGGGACCACGGAAGATGGAAAAAGTTATAACGGCAACTGCTTTAAAAAAAGGAGAGAAAGAAACGGAGCGTGTTCCGTTACGTTTGGTTCAGTTTTTATTGCAGTCACTGACGCCAACCCTCCTTCCATCACGTTATTGAGCACCGTAACTTGCAACCGACAGTTTTTCCAGCTGGCTTTTCTTTTTTCTTTTTTTTTTAAAAAAAAAATCTTTACTTGTTTTTCCACCCCCAGCCCCCAAATATTATATATATGACGTTAAAAAGTAATAAATTATAAGGAAAGACTGAATTGAGAAAATTGGTCTCTCACTTTTGATTTTCTCTTTTTTTTTTTAGAAAAAAAAAAACAATTTGGTATTTAAATTTTTATTTTATATATAGTAATTGAATTTCTCAATTTTTTTTCCAAATTAATTAATTAAAATAAATAAATTTTAAATTCATCATCATCTTATTACAAATTAAGATTATAACAAATTCAAGTAAAAAGTATTTACATTATTTGAATTAAGTAGGTTTTAACCATTCGGTAATGTATATTTTAACTACAACAAAATTTTAAACGAAGCATATTAACTTATGTAATGATCATATTATACTTTATAATAATGTATTCAAAAACTGAGTTATTTTAGTTGATATAATTTTTTTTTTAAAATAAAATATAAGTATAAGAATAACTGAAAAAGTGCACAATAACATATTATACAAGTTAGTATGTAATTAAACTAAGATTATCAAATAATTAATTTGCTAAATTTTGAAAAATCATAATTAGAAATGATGGAATCTAGCAAAAACAAAAACAAAGAAAAATTAGAATGGTTTAAGAAATATATAAATCATTACATATATTTATATTTTGTTGATAAAGCATTAATATTTATTAATCTTAGCCCTTTAATGGGAGCCATATCTAGTTAAATAAGCAAACGTAGATGAAAAGCAAAGCAATGAGACATAAACATATTAAACCAACTCTAATATTATGGTAGATTTTACACACCTTATAATGATAATTAGATTAATCCAACATATATATTTATATATAATTATATATAAAAGCTTTGATACAAGAATCTCAAATGTAATATAAGTATGAAATTAGATTATTCCCTACAAAATTTAAGTTGTAAATAATAGTTACTATTTATTTAGCATTTAGCATTATCTTAGAATTTGAGATCATAATATTAAATATACATATGTGAAAGAGTGCTTATCAGTCTAGATCAAACATGGTAGGGAGTTTGAAACTGAAATGAACTTAATTAATATTATTTTTTAAATATGTTCAATTAAAAAATTAGTAGAAATTAATAAAATTAAAAAATTATTAAAAAGTAAAAAATAAAAATAAAAAAAAAAAGATTTGATTGTCTTTGGTAATTCAATCCAGTTTTGTTCGAATAAAAAATCTAATTGAACTTTTTATCCTTTTATACGTAGACCATATTGAACCAACAACTATTGATCTAATCCTACTTAGATAAAAAAAAGAATGCTTTATAATTTATATATTTTGCATAGTTATTTGTCCATTGTACTTCATTGGATTTTGACTTTACCTATATTTTGTATGTTATAACTGAACATAATCCACATATTAATTTACTTACATATTAGAGAATTAAAATACATGAGAAGTAAAAAAGTAGCTAAGAAAAAACCAAAATGACTTTTTTTTTAGAGGAAAAACATAAAAAAATAGATTAAGTTGAAATTTGTCTTATAAGATAATAGTAAATCAACCCATCATGCCTATTTCGTAAGGCCTATTTTGTAATTTTGTGTGTTTTAATGTTTTATTGCCGAGAGATTCATGAGATGCTGTAAAAAAAAAAATTATTATGCTCAAAACATTAATTTATAGAATTGTCTTTTCTATTCATTGATCGATCAACACCGCTTCATCTTGCTGGATGGCTTTTACAACCATCTTTGAGTTACTGTGAATTTAGATATAAGGACAACCTTCTCCTATCACGATCTTGATATTATTCAAGATTGTTTTACTCTTAGCCATTAAAGGATTAGAGGCACAAATTCTTTCATACTAGGCTTGGATCTGAGATGAGTTGTGTACAACGGATGTGATATAAGTTTCATAAAATTTTATTGCATCACATGAAACAATAACAATTTTTTTTTCAAAAATTAGTTTCTCTAATAATTGAATTTACTGTTTATTTTCTTATGAGGATGTCAGAAATGTAATGAAAAGAATATTGTATCTCATTCTTGAGAGCGACCACGATGGTGACATTCTTCAAGTATTAGATTTAGATATGATCATATTCTTCCATGTCCATATTGAATCTAGAATGATAAATACATAAAGCAGAAGCTTTTGAGAATTGATTTACAATTTGTTACCTTGTATATGCATGTTAGAGATAAAACAAGATAGAGATCAACAACGAAAATATCCCCATTTTATGTAGTCTTAGGTTCCATTACGAAGAAAGTAAAGAACTCAAATAATGTGACATAGAATAAAAATATGGGTATAGGTTTCATTAGTGCTTGAGAAGAAAACACATGGACTGCTACTTATCGTATTATGAAAAGAAATTTCAGACAAATTTTTATTTAATATTCGTCACCATAAAACTTTGTGTTATTCCAAAATCTTAATTTTTTATAAAAACTTTATGAGCTTCTATGAAACTTGAATTGAGAGATAAGAATATGATCATTTAGAATTTTATAACTAGATTTAATAGTGTAGTTTTTCCTATTTTGGTAAATCCAAACTCATTTGTCCTCTAACTGGAAGGGGGACAACTTCATTTTTATGATTTCTTAAATAGTAATTTAGTGGGAAAAAAAATGTCTTGGTATTTTATTTTGTGTAATTATATAAATATTCATTATTATTTGAAGTTATAAAA